GATCATTCCCAATCGATTTATTGAAATTGAAACAGAATTCTCTTTAGTTTCTTCCTTCTTCGTTTAAATTTTTCTTAGAAAGAGGTGAGATTTGAGAATTTATCTGGATTCGGTGTTTTTGAATTTCGAACCTGCTAAAGAGTACAAATTGCATGTGCTCGTTTCCCGAGGTGGAAACAGAAATTTTAATTTATGAGTTTTTGAATCATAAATTCCTTCTACTTACTGAATTTGAAAAAATTGTTTGTATATTAAATAAAAATTTCAATATATATATATATATATATATACAGATTTGAACTAAAATTATGAGTTCTTATAACTCCAATGGTAGCTCCGCGAGCTTCCACTTGTTTGCTACTTGATGATTCAAATCCACAATCTTTTAAGATCGGAGGTGTTTACCTGAGCAAAGAAACTGGAAAGCATAAAATTTCGTTTTTTAAAAAAAATAAATTATTATATCCATATGAGTTACTATATTAGTAAGTTTTTTTTTTTTTTTTTTTGAACTTTTTTAATCAAAGATTTATTCATCTCTCTTCATTATAACTATGTGGTGGTTTTGCCGGTGCGGTGAGTGGGTGGGAGTTGGGAGGGTGTAGTTTGTGAAGAAGGAGGAGGATATGTTTGTGTAATTAAGTCATTACGTAATACCTATACACGTGGAAAATAAAATAGATTTAAAAAACGGTGAAAGTTTGGAATTTAATTGAAGGCATAGGAAAATATAAAATTGCTTTTATAATTGTTGAGACTTGAGACAAAGCATGATGTATGTGACCTTCTCAACAAATTTAACTTTATCAATCATTTCTTTTGAAATTGTTTCCTCTTTTTTTTTTTTCGGGGTGGGGGTGGGGGTGGGTTGGTGGTAGTAGGGTAGGGATGTGGGGATGGAGTGTTGCTTTATCTACATTCCGAGTTGAACCGGTACATAGACGGAAGGGTGGTCAATTGAACATCTTTTAGTTAGCAATATTGACTGATGTTGAATTGTGCAGAAGATTCCACACATATTATACAAAAATGATTATATACTAGCTCACAAATAGGCCCAAAAAAAAATGTTTGGCATGCTTACAACAACACAACAATATACACAGTGTGATCCTACAAGTGGGAGCGTAGAGTGTATGCAGACCTAACTCTCACCTTGTGTGAGATAGAGAGATTGTTTCCAATAGATCTTTGGCTCAAGAAAAGCGTTTTCAAAAATAGGTTTAAAAATACTGAGGAAAAGGAAAGTATCTAAAGTGTTAGGCATGCTTGTTTTACCTAAATTGCATTCTTATCTTGTTGTAAAAAAGGACTGAAACATACCAAATTTGCAAACAATTCAAATCAATCTTAGTCTATTCATGTCTAAAGTAGCAAGTAACATTTCTTTAGGTATGACTCATGAGCACTTCACATATTATAAAATGGCAAGCATATTTTCTAGGATTCCATTAGTGGTTCCTTCCATCCACTAGCTTAGTGCCATCACAATCCACTAATCTGATTTCTGTTAGAATATATTTTCTAGAACCCAAACATTGGCCAAGTTGATAGTTACATAAGCCTCTACCAACCAAATATATGCTTTGTTTTTGTCCAATCTTCTATCTATTTTTCTATTGTTAACTATAGGTGTCTTCATATACTCTTTTAAGTCAAAACGACACTGTAATGTCACTTTCTGAATTATTATATTTATCTGTTCAAGATAACCAGATAGTAATATTCCAGATTCTAAAAATATGGCCACATAGAGTAGCCAAGGTATCCGATTCTTCAGTGCTCTTTCAACATGAAGCATCTACCACTTTATATGTCTTTAGCTAAAGATCATGTATTCAAAAGTATAAAGATGATACTTGGAATCAATTTTCTACAGCATGTTTCAAAAAGTGTGATATATTATGATTTATCTGCATGTTCTGTGAATAGAAGCAATAGCTTTGAAGATTCACTTACGCGTTTATACCTTTGCTTTTATTTTCTTCAGGTGCTGGACTTTTGAAGCTTCATGACGATATACAAACCTGTGGTTACGAGGATGTTCAGGTCATGTGGGAAATGCTTAGAAAAACCGAATCAGAAGTGACATCTCGGCACCATACACGCAAACGCAGACCATTATGGAGGATATTTGTATGGTCCAATCATAGTTCTAACTCATCCTTCTCCTCAGAACATGCTCATCAATAGACAACTTGCTGCATCTTCAAAAACAATAAAAAGTGTCTGGAGAATCAAGACATGTATGGCAACTTCCATTTCTTGAACCCCATAGGGTGGTGGTATTTCATGATATGGTAACAAAGCTATTGTGTATGTCCATATCAGCATAGGATGTAGTATATCTATTATACCTCTATTAGCTAGCATGACCATATGAGACTTATCTATGATGGTGTCAGTTTGTAAATATTCCATCTTTGTCAAGAGCCCCATGATCATGTTTCAGCATTAAACAGAGAAAAAGAACTGTGCAGAGCTCAATTTTCCTCTGGGAGGTTAATTTATGTTATATTATGCTTTTACATATCCATCATTTACAGCTGCAACGTACAACAAATGAGAAATGTTACTAAGATACGTAGTAATTTACTAAATACTAGTATACTATCAGCATAATACATAAATATTGAGTTGGCACCATCTGTCAAATAAACACTCAGTTGTCTTGATATACTAAGTTGGTCAGATTTTCCAAAAATGTTGATGTACCCATGTCGGATTCTTCAAAAATGCACTATATTTGAAAGATTTGATACACACTCGATGAGATTTTTGAAGAGTTTTGAGCAACATAGCTGATAAGTACCACTTCATGAAGAGAACTGTTATAAACTTGTTAGCAGCTAATACCATGAAAGGCAACACACTCATTTACTCTTAAGCTCCAGTCTATGCACTCTCCTCTATGAAATTGTAAAATGCCAATGAGATATGTAAGAGGACAGTAAAAATATTAAGAATTCAGTCACTTAAAATCTCAACTACATACAGAAAGAAACTAACAGGAATTAAGGGCAGAGAGTTCTGGCCAAAATAATCTAATCATTCAGTCACTTAAATCTCAAATCTCTATGGTATGAAAAATTTAGCAAGAGGGCAGAGAAGTTCTGGTGAATGGAAAAGGCTTTGAATTGTTCAAATGAAGCTAGAATCCGGTAACTATTTATTCTAAGCTGTTATGGTATCTTTATGGCCAAGAAATTTGTACCGCGTTTCTACAAGGTGTGGTATCAATTCTCCAGTACTAGCCAAAAAAGTGGGGCACTCTAGCATATCAACTTGACATAGACTCTTCGCATCACCTCAATTTTGCTTCCTCCAACTTCAGTTAGAAGTTCAATCAAGTAGAATAGTTGTTGGTACTGTCTTTCATATCCTCCTCCTGTTGGTGATTGACCTCTTTCTTTCTATTTATAAAGATAAAGTTCTTGTCGGTGACAGTATAATAAACTATGAATCTGCAGTTAAGGGAATATCTCCAGATATGGATATCCATGTCTGTTCCTGGATGCAAAGCATAAGTTAAAGTAGCTGATCCATGTAGAAAGAAACAAAGAAATGATATCAAAAGCAGAAAGGGATAATCAAGGACAAACAATTTCATGCAAAATCCAAATACTACTTTCTTTCAATCAGAATTCAGAAACCAAATCCCCTGAGAGAAATTGTGATGCAAAAGAACTGACCCTAATCTACATGCCAATTGAAGGAAGAGGAGAAATTTCACCAAATTGAAGAAACAAGTAATTTGCCTAGCCCAGGTAACTTCCTGAAGCTATCTTTAAAATATCAAGAGAGCTTTGTATGCTTTCTGTACCTCTGCAGAAGTTACGAGGAGAGCATTAAATCACTCAACACCGTCCTTCTCCTCCGAGCAAGCAGAGTGATCCAGGATTTGAGGTTCTACGGGTTCATACATATACCTCAAGTTAGTATACAATAATAAATGTGTTCATGGTCAAATATATATAGTGGATTGCTTAATAAATATACAGGTCTGAGCAAAAGCTACTGGGTTCACATGAACCCACTGCGAAGCAAGAACTGGTTCATCAATGACAGTTGTAATCTACTATTACATGGAATCAGAACTGAAGAGAAATACCAAATGGCAATTGCTGTACATGTTAAATAACTGAATATAGAGGTCGAATCCTATTTGGAAGTTGAATCTCACGTAACGCATAATATTGTAGGTGTCCACAGTTACTAGCTAAGATTTTAGGGATTCCCAGTTAGTAAAACACACATAAATCTGATCTAACTTCACTCAGCCTGGAAATTAGCCAGGGTAATCTGATAGAAGAGTAATTCTGCATCTGCACCTACACAATGCTACATAACTGATCACATCCACGTAAAAATAATATGGGCCTGGATTTCCCAGCTGCTTGGAATGAACAAATAAGGCATGTTTTGGTTGAATTTGTAGACCGACACAATCCAGTAATGATAGAAATTGAAGCCGTCATTCTGTCAGAGCATCAACAACTTCTACACACTATAAATATGTCTGAGGTCACTGATTAGCGTGCTCTCCACAGCAGCCCTAATCAACTACAGGTGGTCTTGGTCATACAAGAAGATGAGGAAGTTGAGATGACTGTTATCAACAGTGATGATATTATTCCTCTCCATAACTCAAATGAATTGGAGAAACAGATAGTTGATCATGAAGAGGATGACCTCTGGCATGTAGACCCATTGCTGACTCATATTCAGAATTCTGATATAGAAGCATCATTGTGGGTACATAAAAATGTACTGGAAATGTGCAAGCATTATGTGTTGGATTTCCGAGACTGTGAGATGTAAGATCTATCTCTCTTCATGAAACTGTACAAAAGAAAGCAAGATAAACAAGCCAAAGTATGCATTGTCAGTTGTATGACCCCAAAATGCAGAAGTATGAAGGAACTAAAATCCTGAAATTTAATGTTAATAACAAGGACAGCGGGACATGGAGCAGGAGAAATTCTCATACACTGATTATCCATGAAGCTGAACATCATCACATGGAACGGAAAGGGGCCAAATAGCAGGACAAAAAAGAAGGGTGAAGAAAAGTTTAGCTCACAATGGAAAGCAAACATCTACTGCTTTTAGGAAACAAAGCTAGAAGGAAATATCGAACCTTTTGTTAAAGATATGTGGGCAAACACATTCCTGCTCATCGGAAGTGAGTTTATTACTAGCCTTAAGGTAATCCTTAGCAGATGGCTCATCCCCCTTAATCAAAAGATTGGACGGCCCGAGGAAACCTTTGCAAGCCTCCGTTACCTTTTGGGAGGACTAAGCCCCATAGAAACTGTCTACCTGAGACTGTCCCTTGGTCTGTAGGTCCTGACACAAGGTTAGAATTCTAGCCCTTCCAGAGTGGTATCTCACTGATGGCTCCCCCCCATCCCCACCCCGGAAGGATGCCTTGTTCACCTTCCACCTAAGCTGTGCAGGAAATCCCCAAAGCCAATCCCAGGGAACAGTGAAGCTTCATAGGGTCTTTCAGTGCAGGTGCAGGTAGCCTGCATCTTCACAGACATGTCTATTTCACCGAGCCTCCCTCTGAGACAGTGCCCAGATTTTTAGAGGCAAATGGTAGATCAGGGAATTTTTATATTATGGGACAGGAAGGTGCAGAAAGGGGATGTAATCTATACTGGAGAACACCCACTCACCTGAAGTTTTGTCTCAGATTAGAAGGGGAGCCTATAAAGTTGTTGTCATGTGACCAGGAGGTCACGGGTTCGAGCTGTGGAAACAACCTCTTGCAGAAATACAGGGTAAGGCTGCGTACAATAGACCCTTATGGTCCTGCCCTTCCCCAGACCCTGCGTATAGCCCAGCTTATTGCACCGGGTTGACTCTTTTTAAAATAGGGGTAACTACACTATCTGGGTTTAGTATATAGAGGTCAAACAGAGCTTTTTAGCCCTCCTTCAGTGCCAACCAGTCTTAAAGTGAGGAATGGGAAGGGTCTCTAAAGCATTATCCCCATACATCTTCAACCTGTCAGTAACAAGGGGACAGCTGTTAGCAAACTATGAGGTCAACAGTGATTAAACCTGAGCTTTAGAACACTACCAATTGATTGAGAAATCAACAGAGTAGCTAAATTTTGTAAGAGTAATGGATCAATTAAAATGCATTTATAAACATGAGGACATATTGTCATGGCAGAGGGCATAGCAAAGGCAACTATACAATTAAATCTACCTATTATGCACTCACTTGTATTAGGAGAACAAGTTAATTCTTGGATTTTGGAACACATGAAGACTGGAAATTCCTTAAACAGTGGCTTGTTTTGTTTGGCTTGTTGTCAAAGAAGCCTGTCTGACCCAAGATAATTTGAAGAGGAGGAGGATTAAGCTAGGTTCAAGATGTTATTTGTGTTGGAAGGACCAGAGAAAAACAGTCACCTTTTATTGCACTGTGGAGTCACTGACCAACTCTGGCAATTATTCTTATTGGCGTGATCAACAAAAGACCTATTGGCGTGCTGGAATAGCTCTCAAATGGAAATTTTCCATGATCAACCAAAGACCTGGCATGCTGGAATAGCTCTACCACTAGCTATGCTACCCCAAATCAAATTTCTTCTAGAATTACTGGGTGACTGCAAATCTCTTACAAAAAGGAGCATAAGATATTGAAGACTATGATTAGTAATTGAATCAATTATTGCAGAACGAAATGGAATTTGACAACAAATCCTTTAACTTGGAAATGCACAGAAGACACAACAGCAATAGTGGATGATCATTAGCAGGCAGATTGGTAAAACTTCAAATATCCAGATCCTATAATTTTGCAATACTTCTATCAAGAATAAGTTCAAGTTGTATTAGGACAAGTACATAGAGATATCACATGAACCGCATAATCTTAAAGACAGAGCCAATCAATAAGGAAGAGAAACTTACAATACAGCCAGATACATAAAAAACAAAAATATCAGCTTCCAGAGAAGATATGCATGTGTTCAGTTCTTAAAAGAAAATTCAAGTGGTCGAAAAAGAGACATTTTCTTAAAAGAAAAATTCAAGTACTCGGAGCTAAAAGACATATAGGTAGGGAGATAAGGAAAAAGATCAACTTTCTTCTGACCTTTTTCTAATTTCCGGTAGGTAAAGTTTGTCTTGGGAAGAAAAATCATCAGCAATTTTCTGCTCTATTTCCAACTTTTACTCCATCTTCAGAACAAAATTTACCTGTATGTTGTTCTAACTTCCATTCTAGGCACTCCACCTGTCCACCACTACCACATTTCTTTGAATGGGGTCACTTCATCTTCCAGCTCAGGATGGGAACTAGCTCATTTCTTTCTTTTCTTTTTTTATGTTAAGGATTTGAACTCATCTTTTAGACCAGCTCAACTGTCTGATTCTCTGACAAAATCGGCCACTTTGAATATAGCAGCAACTACGCCTCAATGAAACCCAAATAAGCCAGAAAATAATATAACCAAGTGATAAATACACCGAATATCATGAAGAAATGCACATTAAACCATTCATGCTTTAACATTGACTACCTAGTGCATGAACTAAATTTACTTTTGTTTAAAAAACAAAAAAAAGATTGACCATCTAGAGCAAGAAAAAAATCAGACCACGGAAGTAAGTAAACTTGGTCAATGAACATAATGAATAAAACAAAGTATTTTCAAATCTTTCTGGGAAAAAAGAAATGACTAAATGAAGCAGCAGTATATTGCAGGAACTTAATTGAACTCATACCAAATTTTGAGGCAATGGGGAAAAAAGGAATCTTGAACATCTGCCAAATCACTGCAAGTTAGTTAAGCAGCACAAAATAATAACATTATTATCAGTAAGTCAAAAAGTGGGCATACCTAATAATTGATGTACCTGATATGCATTTCCTCTAGCTCCTGAGAGAAAAATTATATGAACTAGACTAAAAGGGTCAGTCATCCTAAAATTAGGCATATTAGCTAAATGGAAATTGGCACATATGATAACCCCAGTCGCTTCTTGTGGATTTTCATAACCCTGCTATGCAAAATGGGATATGCAATTGAAATGGATGTCTGAGTTAAGATATATATCATGATTTCTTTGATCCTATTAAGCATGTTCTACATAACACACCAGTGACAATTCGCTCAGTGCAGACTATAATAGATCACGGAATATCAACAATTTAATAACCACTTTACATTTAGCATCATGGCTTATGAGAGAATCAAATAATGAAACTCTTCTGGATATACAATTAACACAGTAAGGAAACATGAAATACAAAAGCGGGCCATAGACCCAATGAACATTAATCTAGAAATAAAAATCATAAGATGTAAACCTACTGGTGAAAACGTGTTGTTAATATTGAAGTTCAATCAATCTTGATGTTGAAGATACACAGCAATTCTTGCATTATCTAGTTTCACCTTTCTACTGAAGTCCTAGGCTACACAATTATTCCTGCAAAACTTGTGCCAAATTTGCTCTTTACTTTAAATTACAGGAGGGAGAATGCGGTAAATATCCAAAAAATAATTATGCTAATCATACAACAGCACAACCGACGTGGGTGTTTCTTTCTTCAAGTCCCTTTCAGTGGTTGCTAAGAAATGTAGACTCTCTTGGCAAAGTTAAGCCCTGTAGTAGGTGAGATAAATATCCGGGCTCCATGCATATCATCTTCAAGAGACAACATTAACCAAAAGAGTTGTTGACTGATTCAAAAGGGCCAAAAAAGCTGTAATGTTGCAGCTGCGCAGAAACTTTGAGAGGAACGGTGCCCTTAGATCCAGTAGGGACCAGAAATTTAACTGGAAGATAACAAAGTTCACGTATGGCTTATTCTTCAAAAGCGCGTGAACAAATTTTTTCTAGAAGCAATGGCCAGTCTTCGCCAAGTTGCCGGGAGTTCAGTTCCATGGCAACCCTAAAATCTTGCAATGATATCAAGTTATTGGGAGCATGTTCTTGCATGACTTCTGAAGGTCTACCAGTACTTATCTGAGAATGAAGACCGGGTCTAAGGCCATTGACGAGCTTCACATGGGTCTGCTGCTTTTTGGTGTTGTTTCTTACAGGCTCGTGCCCTGACCTTGCCCCAACAAGTCGAACACAAGATCGAATTAAACCTCTTAAGTAAGAATCTAATCCATTGTTCAACAAGTTGGCACAACTGATGGCCACTCCTTCAAGGCCTTGTTCTGCAGCAATCTGCTCCATGCGTTCCTTCAGTGATACACTATCCAACAAAGCACCATAACTAGAAGAGGTAACACATTTACTATTTGTTGCCAAAGGCAATGCTTTACGTGCTCCACCAACACTAACAGGGCAAAATGGAACCCCAAGTGGAGCTTGAAGCTGACTCCTTGCATGCATCTCTTTCCCGTCATCTCTAACATGGACTTTGTTATATACTGAAGCTGGACCTTCCTGTGATCCCTTTATTACAGAAAATCTACCAGTTTCTTGACCAGATGCCTCCCTTTCATCATCAGTCTGCTGCAAGAGTCCTTGATAATGCTGCACAGCCCTCCGTGAATCAGAGGGATTGATATCCCCATTTTCCATAACATCGAAACTTGATTCTGTTGCTGTCGGTTGTTGAAAAGTGAAATTGGTCTTCCCATTTTGACTAAGCGCACTACAACGATCCCCAGTCCTACGATCACGATAGCCTGTTCTAACCTTTCGAGGAGATAATGGGAGAATATCTCCATTAGACAAACCTGGTTGACTTGAAGCCTGGCTTGAGGAAACATGTGATCCATTTTGCTCATAAGCATCACTTAGGGGCTCATTACTGCCAACTGCTGCACCAGGCTTCGAAACATCAGTCTCATGAGTTGGCGGTGGAACTTTTGCGCTGCAAGCATTTCTCAAAATGGAACGAATGAACTGATTATGCAATGTAATATTCTCTCTACCCAATATCCTAAGACAAAGGTTATTGAACTCAACCTTGCTTATTTTCAAACTCAATAACCTATTTAAGTAATAAAAGTACTGTTTAGACCTCTCAGGTCCAAGTTTCCTCACTATCTGAGCTTTCAGTTCAACAAGATTGATTCGCGAATGCTGATGTGGCGGCTGCATCTCTGTCAACACATAAAGTCTATACACAACAAGCAAAGATTACAAAGTTTCCACTATTTTCAAGTAACACAAGAAGTCAGTAATCCAAATCCCCCACTAAATTAGGGTTTTCCCCAATTCCAAAAACCCATAGTGGAAACAAGATTGTACTCTTCCAACAGCAATTCAAGCAATGCTGAATCAAAACCCATATCCAAAATTCCAACTTACAACAGTATAACTATTAAAGGGGTTGACACCCCAGCTAGAGATCCATAATTCTCAACTAACTCTCCCTCCAAAACTCGAAAATTTTCAAATTCTTTCTCAGTCCAATGTTCGAACCAATCAAAATCGCAGCTCAAGAAAACCCTCAATCCCCAATCCCCAATTCAATAAGTTCAAATTGCCTTGCAAAATTACAGGGCAAAACCTAAAGCAGACAGAAAATGCCACCCGTTGCCAAAAAAGTAAAGCTTTAAGCTACCCACTTCAAGTTCAAATATATCCCCATACGAAATTGGGATTAAAGAAAAGATTTTTAAGCTCGAAAGAAGAGTGAAATTAGAAAAATATACAGAACCCAACGACACCAAACTTAATTCAAAATTCAGATTCAGAAAGTAGAGAGAAAACCCAAATGTTTTTTCAACTCTTACTTGTTCATATACGAACCCATAAAGCTTCTTCTTCCATTCAAATTGCTTCGCATTTCAATTCTTCTCCGCAGCTATCTTTCTCTTCCCCAAAAATCACTGTACTAAACCAGAAAAATAAGAAGACCCACCTTCTACACACACTCTCTGATCTCTCCCCCTTCCCCCTCTCTCTCTCTCTCTGTAAATCGAGACTCTTTTTTCGTTTTTGTGTCTGATCAGAAATAGCAATTTCTTTTTCTGTAAATTTTTCTACTTCTATTTTTCTTTCTTCCTCCATACCAAACACACCCTTAGTGTTTCACGTCCTCACGCTCTCTCTTCCTCGTAAACTCTCACGCGACCGGTAATTAAGGGTTCAAGAAGCGTTTGAGCTTCACACATAGGCGTGCGCGTGGGTATTCTTGTTTTTTAATGATATGTTTTGATGAATTTTGCTTATATTATGTCATGGGAAAAATAAAAAAAGAAAACTTTTTTTATTTTTTGCAAGTGTTAAGTTGTAAAGAATGTTTTTTTGGGGGGAAATGAATAATACAAAGTTGTTTTCATTAGTGTATGTTAGTGATGATCATTGTACCATTGTTTTTCCTAGGTTTTTGAAGAGGATGATGATGATGTAAAGTTGATAAGAATGACAAAATGTTGTATAAAAGGGGAAAATGGAACAGAATTTGATGAATAACAGAGGGCAGATAGTTTGACAAATAAGGAAAAGTCAATTTGACATTCTAAGTTGGAAGAGAAACATGATTCTAGGTTGTTTGTTGTATATGCCAACTTCCCCTCATTGAGCACCTAGTACTAAAATGTATTTATGGATTCTTCTAAAATGATATCACTCTCTACCTTTCCTTGTCTCTTTTGTGTATCGAGAGTACTATTCATAATTTTTATTTAGGGGATTCGAAAAAAATTATAAATATGTGAATAATGAGCATCTGATTGTAGATGTCGGTGTGTATTTTGAATGTTCTGAATCGTAGAGCTAACATTTTGCTTTTTGTTCAAGGAAATCAGAATTTGTACATGTGTATAAATATTTAAAAAATTACCTTATATATATACAATATATTTTTTGTCGAGGGACTTCAGGTGAACACTCTCACTCCCTTCTAGATTTACCCCTATTAACGATTCAGTACATCATGAATTAATTGAAATAAAATATGAAATCTTTTTACGTAAATTGTTTGTGCAATGCCATATTGAGATTTTTGTCTGCTTCATAAGGTTCTATGATTTAAATAGTTTTTTCGTTAAATATTTTATTCAAACATGTATATTGACTTGAAATATCATTCAATTTATAAATATGTGCAATTAAATATTTGTGTAAAAGCTACAAATATGACGAAGTTAAAAAGAATTTCGTTAAACATAACAAGATTGGTCACATTTGTGGAAGTGAAGCATCCAATTCGATTTACTTGAGACCCATGCTACAAGCTTTTGAAATAGAAATCTTCTTCAGTCTCTAATTAAAAAATAAAGGCTACAGTAGATTGATATCTAGTGCAAAATGGGAAATTTTAGTAGTACAATTGATTAGCTATCTTAACTTTCACTTTGTTGGTGGGAGGATTCGATTTCCACCCTGTAATCCCTCCCTAATTCCCCCATCCTCTATCCATTATATAGTGAGATATATAAGTTATCACATTTCAGAACAACTCCAGATATGAGCTATTTAAAGTTATGTTTAATAATATCAAAATTTACACATATTGTCAAAATACCTGAAGTTTCATATGATTGAAGTTCATGCACATATGCATAAAGTTTAACTATTTTATTTGAACTTTAACTACATAAAACTTTAGAAACTCATGAGTAAAATAGTTCTTAAGTGAATAGACATACAAAAATAAATAGTAATTAAACACTAATAAATAAAGGAATACAAAGATAAATAGCAATGTTCAAATAAGATGCCCGTAATTTTTTTTTACATTAATATCGAATTATCAACTTTAAGTTAAGGAGTTAATGAAACAGAAGTGGCCAAAATCTGTTTGGACCAAACCCACCAACTTTCTTGTAGCATGTCCAGTCCCAATAAGCCCAAATACACACGGCTCCAACTGTGTTTGAAATTTTAGTATTAATAATAAAGCATAACCTTAATAAAAATATCTGAAGTTTTGTACGACTGAAATTCAGATAAAATAATTGTACTTTAACGATATAAAATTTTAAATTTTGTTAAAATTTATGGACTCAGAGCACAACTTAACCAGTTTAAAATCAGGCATGTGTGTTGTCAAACTTCTCAATCATTTCCTATATTTTGATTACTTTCTTCATTTTGATTTACGTGATATCGTTTGACTTATCATAATTATTACTATTATTTAAAATAAAAGAAAGATTTTTAAAATTTGTGGTCTATAATAAATTTTAGACAACATTTATATAGCTATTAATTATTTTATTAAAGGTTAAAAGAGATTTTAAAGTTAAATTATCTTAATTATAAAAAAGAAAAAGAAAAATTGGAATGAATTAAAAAGAAAAGTGTATGACGTTAGTTGGATAGAGGGAATAGATACTAGCATTATATGACGCAAATTTAAAATAGTCGGTCTCCCATGCAGGTACCGAACATCGGATAAAAAGAGGAAATAGGTGGTTAGACTGGTCCAGGAGTTGGAACAAATCACTCGGGCATTAACTACTTTCTCTTCTATTACACATTTTATTTTAGCTCCTCTCTTGTACTTTGAACTCTTTCTACTATGACTTACTCCATCTCTCAAAATTTGTTTATTAGCAACTTTCACTTCTGCATCATCATGATTTTGGAATCTTAAACTATATATAAATAAAGTATAATATAACTAATGGCCAAGTTGTTGATACTTTTTAAAAGTGACAACAAATTGCAGAAAGAGTCTTTTCCTCCCTCAGATAAGTCATATCCCCAGGCTTTACAAATGACATTACATTACTAACTTAAAAAAACATTCTTTATTTTGAGATTTAGAAGGAGATTGTGCACTCTCTGACAAAACATCACAATTATTGATGAAAGTTACTGGTGTCAAGAATTTGTTCTAGTGCTTGTTGGGAAGTGGGGAAGGTTGATTCTTTCCTCCATATAATTCTTCATTACAGCATAGCCCCTTTTGTTTTTGTCCCTCTACTCTGTCTGCTCTCTGCTGCTGGCTAAGGAGTTGGCTAGACATTTCATACTATGGAAATTTTACCAGGTTAGTACAAAACATGTTTCTTGAAATTACAAAAGCAATTCTTGAAATTTGTTTGCGGTTGGTTTATTTATAGGAGCAAGAAAACATCTTTCTTGAAATTACTAAAGCAATTCTTGAAATTTGTTTGGGGTTGGTTTGATTATAGGATCAAGAAAACATTTTTCTTGATTCTTGATATTTGTTTGTGGTTGGTTTTATTATAGAATTAAGAAAGCATTTTTCTTGAAATTTGTTTGTGGTTGGTTTAATTTATAGGAGCAAGAGAGCATCTTTTGGGGTCAAACGGGAATGAAAATGGATTTGAAGAGAATCCAGAAATCAAGATTCAGGTTAGAGGTCTTACAAAGGTGTCTGAAAAGGGTGTTTCTATATTGAACAATGTGAACGTTGACATACCTAAAGGTGTAATCATGGGTGTTATAGGCCCAAGTGGTAGTGGAAAATCAACCTTTTTGAGATCACTTAATCGATTGTGGGAACCATCTTCCAACTCTGTGTTTTTGGATGGTCATGATATATGTGATCTGGATGTGCTCGCCCTCCGCCGGAAGATTGGCATGCTGTTTCAGATTCCTGTTCTCTTTGAAGGTATAACACTATTATAGACAGATTCATGTTTTTGTGTAGGTATTTTGTCCATCAGATGTTTGATGTTAGAACTTTATGTCCTTGAGCAGAGGGTCTTATCGAAAACAGCCTTGTAAGGTAATGCATACACCCTATAATCCCTCAGACCCCACTTTGTGGAATTACATTGGGTATGTTGTTGTTTGTTGCCTTGTGATGCTTAATCTAATGGACTGGCATGTTTATGGCTTCCACTTGAATAATTAAGTTCTTCGTGCCACAAGGTTTTCGTTTGGTGGTAAAAGCTCAACCCCCAATGTAGGGGTCAGTTGGGGCGGAATTAGAGTTCTAGCTACTGTTTGGCAGAATCTTGTATTTGTGTTAAGAAATCTACTTAATATGTATAAATAGTTTATCCGACTTAGTATACTGTCTTTTCTAGAATCTAGAACCTAAAGACTCAAATTTCGGGATCCGCCTTTTGGGGGTTAGGCACATGTCATAGGTTCGAACTTCTGCAATGGACAAACTCAGTATTTCAGAGAAGAAGGGTAGGGAGCAGGCCATTAGCCACCGAGTGTCGTGGATTTCTCTGTCATTAAAAAGAAGTCTTTTTTCAACATACATTTCATTTGTTCAAGTTGTAGTGACTGATGCTTGAATAAGTTATTTTTGTGGAAAATTGTTCAGGTACTGTTGCAGATAATGTACGATATGGGCCACAGTTAAAAGGAAAAAAACTAAGTGACAATGAGGTATACAAGTTGCTGACTCTAGCTGACCTGGACTCATCTTTCTTCAACAAGTCTGGTGGGGAACTCTCTGTTGGTCAAGCACAGAGAGTTGCACTTGCTAGGACCTTGGCCAATGAACCAGAGGTAATTTGAGATGTACCAAAGATTTAACTAGTTTTGGCGAAAGAAACTTCACTCGATTGACGCTAAATTTTGAAATAGGAATCTGACCTTATGTTCCAATCTTCTGTAAGGTTCTGCTGCTGGATGAGCCAACAAGTGCACTGGATCCAATATCAACTCAGAATATTGAGGATGTTCTTGTAAAGCTGAAGAGGGAGCAGAATATGACCATTGTGATGGTTTCACATAGCATCAAACAAATAAAGAGAATAGCTGAGATAGTATGCCTGCTTGTCAATGGAGAGATTGTAGAAATTTTAAAGCCTGATCAACTCTTTGAATCTAAACATCCCATGGCACAAAGATTTCTTGAACTCAGCTCCTAAAAACTTCTCGCCGACCCCTCTTTTCTGTATGTGTTGTGTTTTTGATGCTTGGATGGATGGTGAAGTCCAGGAAACCAATTCCAGATGTGTAATATATTTGATATTTATCATAAATATACTCTTGTGTCACCACTGTGATGGCTGTGCAGATTGAGTAGCAACTGGCACAAGCAGTTGAGATTTTTCTTTTTCAAAAGAAGTGTCTTAAGATATTTGTACAATGTATAGGTCCGGCAAACAATGCTACATGTCTTTGTTGCTGATCTATCCCAAACAATAAGACTTTGTGATATCTTCTTAGCAAAGTTCGATATACTAAAGGGGCATCTCGAATGCCCTGCAGAAAGAACACTTCCAATCATCAATATCATCTTGGTGAACATGTTTTGTTATCCTTTTCTTTAACTCAGATCTTGCTATGGATTGATTATGTAACATGTCCATATCATATCTTTAGATTTACTAATATGAATTTGTCGTTTTGATACATGGCTGTATTATCATCCAAAACCAGAAGAAGCAGCTTAATATGAACAGCCTAGCTGCCAAACACCCTTGGTTGAATTTGTGCAGATTGAGTATCAATGGGCCTAGCAAGTGAAACTTTCTTCTGTTTAGAGATGTGTCTACAGTAAATGTGCAACATATACAGCTATATAGTTCAAGCAAGCAGTGCCTGTCTTGGTTGTGCATCAATTCCTAACAGCAAGATTATTTGTCTGATATCTTCGTTTAGCAAAGCTCGATAGATTGAACAAAAACATATCTATCTTCACAGAGAAATATGTACCACTTACATTAACAGTACATTTTTGCTGTAAGTACAATGATATATAGCTTATTTCCTTTATTAGCCTTACACTTTGTTTGATTACAAATAGATTCTACATGTAATGAAGTATTGAGTTGTGAAACAATCTTTGGAAGACTTTCTATGTGGACTTTGCTACAACTCCAAACCTCTTAGGTAATGAAGGTGTTTTTTGAAGAATAAGAGACAAATGGTATCACTATGATGAATTATACAAAGGTTTCAAACCATGCTTTAATGCAGCCTCCCACACGACATCAATCTGATCAACATCGATAGCTCCAACCTCATGGTGTGTCCAGCCTTCAAGAAGATGAACTAGCCCACCCGCATGACAAGCATGAACTATGTCTCTTCCCATTGTATACTGGTGCAATACAGAAGCACAGTGAGAATTCATACAAAACATGAAATTTGGTTTTCACCAACACAACACCATCAGCCGAAGTTTGGATTTCACACCCTGAAATGTTAAATGTTATCTTGTTGTCTTACTGTTTCTATTGTTTTCTAAACATAAAAGGGCAGCATAGTGCAGAAAGTTAAAGGCCGGACTGCATGCAGTTTATCTTACATTTCTGCAAGAGGCTGTTTGGACAGCTTGAACTGTGATCAAGAATATGCAACAAAAAAAGGGATGGCATATGATTTGAGTCATACCTCACAAGTTCCTAAACCAGTGACATCTTTTGGAAGTCTCATTGCTGCTAACTTGCCATAGGTACAGTCTCTGCGAAAGGGAATGATAGGAGGAACGACAAACTGATAAAAGTGAGTTCCTGATGGGGCCCAGCTCTGCTCTCTAGGGGTAGACCATTTGCCAATAATCCAAGTCTGTCATTTGAAAAACACCACAAAATTAACTAGAAGATAGTGCAAACTCTTTGCTGAACTGAAAGACCTCAGTTAGCCACTTGTATTGGTTTCATAACTTTCACTTTATGGAATATATACTTGAAACATTACCTTACACTGTTTAGCTTCTTTGCAATTTGTCACTTGAACCAGATACTTCTGGCACTCAACTGGAGCTTCTCTTTGAATTTTCATGAATCTCTCAGTAGACTTAGTGAGCATCTGCATTAGAAAAGTACCCTTATTAGAATAGAGGATTATAAAGCTAATTATAGAAGAGATAACTAAAAGGAAGAAGGGGTTTATTCCTCTTCATAACAACTAGTAGAATATACAAACACACTCTTATATGCCATGCATTTACTTCAGAAAGAGTAATCTTACCAGAACTCTGACTCTTCGACGAGCAAGGTAGAGTGCAATGGCCCTTCCAAGCTTAGAAGTAGCACCTGTTAAGAAGACCTCATTTACATCTCGAGGAATCTCATTCAAGATCACTGCAGCTGTCAAGGTGTTTCCATGGACTACTCGGACTCTGAGATTCGGATGCTTGTTGACAAAGAGTGTTCCACCACCATTTAAACTTTCATTCTGCAGTAAGTTTCTTTTATAAACAACATGAACAATAACTGTATATCGAAACCATGAATTGCTCTCTCAAGTATGAAAAAGACATGGGAAGATCCAAGCAATACATGATCTACTAACAAGTGTAGTTACTAGCTGTTCCAGTTCTGAGTAGACTATATCCCATTCCTTAACTTTGAAGGTTTTTCCTATCGGAAAGGCTTATATACTAGCAAGAAACACATAATACAATGTTTTCATGTAGATGTTCGTCGTATTAAAGTAGTCAGCAAAGACTTTGAGGACTCTGAAATCATTAAACATTACAGAAACAAGAAAATTAGAAACAGGAAAAGAAAATGAGACTGACCTTATTTAATGCAGCAAGGCTGATAACCTTGACACCAATTCTATCAGCCCTAAGAATAGCTTCTTCAATGAGCTTATTTATGCCTTCTGCAGCAAAGGGCAAGAAATACTGCAACACAATATATGTATTAGACGCCAGAAACAGAATGGAAATGATAAACTCAGAATCAAACAGCGAGATGTATTGGGAACATTGAGAGTGCAAGTAAATTATTTTCAATCCTTAAATCATGAACAATTTATTTCAAGATTGCAGGACCTTGATTCTCTTCTATAGAATTTCAAAATCTGAAAGAACACTAGAAATTAAACAGTAGCTAGGAGAAACCCCCATATTACCTGAAAACCAGCCCTGGGCACAATCCAAGTTTGGTTGAGTCTTCCTCTTATGTTGTAAAAACTGAACAAAAAAGTCTTAGTCTTCAGCCACATAGTAAGCACCACCATAAAGGCAAAAGGCCACATCGGTAACAAGAAGAGCTTTGTGGAGAAAGGCACTGAGCTGAATGACCGGAACAAAAACGGGGCATGCATTGATGACATAATATCAACAATATGTGCAAGAAACACAAAATCTGGTGCTCTTTCATCTGTACCTTGATGAATGGGTTCCACTTTCAGAAAATATAGATATAATGGCAAACTAAAGCCAGAGAATGCAAGAAAAAAAACTTGAAAAAAGGATTATTATTTTGAAGGAAGATAATAATAGACCCCCTCCCCCAAGGAGGTAGGAAGAGTAAACTCAAACTCACTTGTCCTTGAACTTATTTCTTTGTGAAGGCTCCACGAAGCGGTATTTAAAGTATTTCCCAACATATCATATAGAGGCATGAAGAGACAGAAATTTGTCTTCATTTCCTGATGGTGTAGACTGTGGTATCTGCAAGAACAGGACATACTTTAAATTACCGGATTTAATAGTCAAAAGGAAGCACAACAAGAAAGTGAAACTGCATTGTAACTTGTCAAACATGATTGTGAAGAAAAGTTCATTTGAAAAGAAACAGAATAAGATGTGATTTCTTTATCTAGATGCTGAAGATAACAGATATTAGATGTTGCATCAAACAAAGTCAGTTAAATGGAACTCACGTCGGGCAGTAAATAACATATCTAAGTAGTGGAACACGCTGGTAGAGACTATGAGGAATGATTTCAACATTGCTGTGTCCCAAACATCTCAAGAAATCAAATGCCAGAATATAACTGTACATAACGCTTATTGAACCGTAACCAATAAATGCAGTGCCTAATGTTGGAATTCCTACAACCACACAGAGCAAAAGATGTTCCAGAAATGTTGCATGCCCAGCTGCACAACAACAACAAAAAAAAAGGAAAAGGTTAGCCAAACTTTCCAGCAAGCTACCAGCATCAGATAAGACTGCTAAAAGATGTCCCTCTGTCCCATTTTATGTGATAGTATTTGACTGTGCACGAACCTTTTAGTATGACACATAAATTGGGACAGAGGGAGTAGTTACTTTACCAGTAAAGGGGTGTGTGATTTTAGACTCGTGGTGATGCCAGTGGTATAGCGGAAACAGATGAGAGGAATGCAATAATCTGTGCATCCAATAGAACAGTGGCTCTGAGATACCAATATGAAGTATGAGACAAGAAATAAGCCCTCTTACATCCCAAAGAGGAATATTAGCCAGTGAGGGGAAGTTCAAGTAGACGAACGATCCCACAATCGCTTGAAGGATAAGGAAGTTATCCCTGTTGAAATTCAATTACAAACAAAACAAAAACATTAGTCCCCTTTTGAAATAAACATAAAGTGTGAATAACAAGAATTCATACATACCAATCCCATTCATGATCAATTTGCTCATAATCTATCCCTTGTTGAGACACCCTTCGCGTGCGATTTAGATACAACATATTACTATAAGTGCTCCATAGTTGATGAACAAGGCCTCTCAGAGCACACAATATAAGAATATGCAAACACCAAATATTCTCCATGCTCTCTTTCCAATACATAGAATGTATGAATTTCGCAAGAAATGGTCCATACAACAAATACTGCACGATACATATGAAAATCATAAATTCAATACAAATCAAGATTGATGAACATACATATATATAAGTAGTTAATATAAAGTCCATGCCTTGTAATTTCCCAAGTTCTTCCATGGCCAGGCAAATAAAGCTGCATCTGTTTTTCTCAACAAAGTATAATTTCCATTTTCAACTACTTCAACTCCCTCATTCTGTTTCTCCATGTTATAATTAATCACTTTAAAAGAATATAGCAGTATCCCAACTGATTCACTGTACTATAAAGAAAGACTAATTTTGGGAATGAAGACAAAAAAACTAGAGGAAAATCCTGCAGCCTTTTGTTATCTACTAGTACTTCCTTTTGTTTTTATTTTTAAGATTCCAACTTCAGAGAATTCATGTATAATATTATTCCATCTATATTGATATTTATATATATATATATATATATAACCCCGAAACTCTATTGCCAGCCAAATACCCCCTAAGGTCAAATCGGCTTATAAGTATATTTAACAAAATCCACAAATCGGCTAATTTTATTTTTACCCCTCCTTAGGAGCTCTCACCTTTCTGCTCCTTTGCTGACTCGAACTCACAGTTTTTGGTTGGAACAATCTTTGGTTGGAAGTGAGGGATGCTTACCATCCAAACAATTCCCTCTCGTCTACTTCCCTTCCATTTAGTATTTGTTGTTCATCTTTTTCTTATGAAGATACTTTTAAAGAAGAAAATTTTACACAAATT